CCCCAAAACCCCAAAACCCCAAAACCCCAGTGAAGCCCAGTACAACTGAATCAGGTATAAAATCAATTATAATACCTCCACATTCAGGGAGAACTCATCTAGCAGGTCATCCTCGGCAAACATTTGTGCTTTGACTTGATCTCCAGGTTTAACTCTGCCAGCCGAGATAGGACTTCCTGTCAGGATCATATCACCTTGCTCGAGGGTCATATATATAGAGAGCATACGGATCATCTTAGAGACACTGTAGATCATCTCTCCTGTTTTTCCTTCAATACGAGGACTGCCGTTAACCTCAAGCTTGAGGGTAAGGTCGTGTGGATCCTCAACATCTTTAGGAAGAAGCAACTTTCCAATAGGGGTGAAGGAATCCTGTCCTTTACAGAATGCTAAGTTCATGGGCTCCTTCTGTAGCACTTTTGCATCTGTAATATCCATAGCGAGGAAGTATCTATAAAATTAAGCAAGAAAGGATACCCTCCAACATAGGACTGCCATTCGTCTTCTTTAATATGCTTGCCTGTCTTTGAGATCATGAAGCCTAGTTCTATCTCTGGGATAACATCACCCTCGCTCTAAAAGAATCAAGTCAGCTTTAAGGAACTGGTATGATGTGTATCCAATTTTTATTTGAAGAGACGAGTTCAAAAGATTTCCAGATATCACAAATTCTGTAATCTGGCTAAATACTCCTCATATTCCAACAGTATGTCAAGAAAGACAAGGAAATAGGAAGACCAAAGCAGCAGATTTTAGCTATCAAGAACAACTTACATCAATCTTGATCGGCTTAGGGTTTGATTCAGTGGCACTAGAACTTAAGGAGCAAGGACATACTCGAGGATACTAGAATTTGGCTTGAAGAAGAAATATGGGTTCTTGATTCTGTTATACACAATATCTGAAGTCTGTGGCACATAGTTCTTCGCAACACCAATCACTTTATTGTGGGTTTTACTGATGATTTTGTTAAAGACTGATGCTGACAGCATATTTAAGAATACAATAATAAAAATCCCTCCAGGGGTTTTGGGGTTTTGGGGTTTTGGGGTTTTGGGGTTTTGGGGTTTTGGGGTTTTGGGG